CTGCGATGCTGAGGCCGGGGCGTTTGCTGGGAGCGTGGCGGCTGCTCCGCTGGCCGGAGGAGAAAACCCCAACGGACTGGGCTGTGGCTGCTGAAGCACGAGTTGAGTGCCTCCCAAGGGCGGGTGCCCGTCCTTCTCTGGAAGGAGATGGAGGGAAGCACCCTGGCTTGCCCAGGATTCCCTGCTTGGGAGGTCTCCTGCGTGCTAGACGCTGCCTCTTCTCCCTCTGCCTGACGTTCTCGCCTCGCCAGGGGTGTTGGAATTGCCGGAGTAACTGGAGGCGTCTACATCTGGGTAGTCACCCTGGTGCTGGCACGGCCAGGCGTGCAGCCAGACGGAGGAATCTGCGTTAAAGCTAACATTCTTGTTTGGTTTTCACTAGGTTGGTTCTAACCTAGTTTTACCCCAATCCAGGGTGTCTATGACCACTCAGGTCCTTGCAGGAGAGGAGCAGCCTGAGGGAGGAGGTGGTGCAGAATATGAACACGTGTCCAAGGAGCCTTTGCTGGTGGCAGTGCCAGCGTGTGGTGGTCTTGGAGCTTAGTGGGCTCTGCTTGTGTGCTGCTGGGCTTGTTCTCCTGGGTCCCATGCGTTTGCTGCTGTGTTAGAGCCACGGCAGAGCATGGTCTGCTTGTGCAGACGCCTTCTGGGAGGTGGTCTGCTCCCTGTGCTAGCGTTTGGCATGGTACCCCCAGTGCCCAGCCTTGTCTCCATCGGAACTGCTCTCCAGGCTCCTTCCACAGCCTGGGCAATGGCTTGGTCACGCAGGTCACCTGACGCTGTGTCTGCACAGATTGAATTGCTTCCTCGCCGCTTGGCTCTCTGGTGACTCCATGGGACCTTGAAGGTGATGCCAGTGCTGTAACACCCACGTAGTCAGATGTATCTGATCTTCCTCCGCTGAATTACTGGGTCAGCTCAGCTTGAACCATCTGGTCAAGTTCTCTCTCCTCTGCTCTTGGCCAGGCACCTGCAGCCGTGAAGCAGTGCAGCAGCAGAGTCTTCATCGTGCAGTGATGGTGAGGTGTAAGCCATCTCCCTGGTGCCCCAGCTCCTCCGTCCGCCTGCGAGGGCTCTCCGTCCCACTCGGAAAGAGCTCCTGCCTTCGCCCAGGGCTGTCTCAGCCCTCTGCCAGGGTTGCAGCCAGCCCTGGGCTGCGCAGTCGCTGTGGCAGAGGGAGGGCTGGGCTGGCTGGGGGGAAAGGAGCGGAGCCGGGCAGGAGTCGGACGCAGTGATGCTGTGTGGTGTGTTTGGGCAGCCCTGACGCCAGAAGCACTAACCCAGACACGGCTACCTAAAATGAGCAGTCATGGCAGCAGAGGGAGGTGGAGAAGCCGAGATGCGTGATGAGGGCTGGGCAGGAATGTGCTTAACCATTCCGGTCACCTGCCTGGCGTCACGCTCTGCCTCCCCTGCGATGTGGGCTGAGGGCACCGGCACCGGTGTGCACATGGGCAGGCGTCGGGTGCTGCAGCTCCCACCGCTTGGGGATTGCGGAGGCTCCCTGGTGTCAGAGGAATGTGCTGGAGGGCAGCAGTGCTTGCCGCAGAGCCGGATGGCAGCATCGTTCCGGGTGATCCCGGTGTTTGCCTGTGGCTGTGGAGGAGCAGAGCTGCGAGCTTCCCCTTGTTGCCGCAGGGTCCTGCTCGAGGGGACCTGCCCCTTCCTCAGGTGATGCTCCAGGCAGTGCTCCATCCACAGATGTTCTTCCTCCCCTTGCTGTGCTTCAGCAGTGTATTTACTGGCAAGCCCAATGTGGAGCACTGGCTTTTCCAGACCTCTGCTTTTGCTGCTGCTTTCAGGCCGTCGCTTCCAGGGAAAGCGAGTTCTGATGCTTCTGGTCTGAGTGGCCAGCGGTGCCGAGAGCAGCAAGCCGGCTTCCCGGGCCACCCGCTGCGCCGATGCCGCGCAGGAGCTGGGTTCACGTTCTCAGTCTGGAGACCAGCGTGGGGCTGACCGTGCCACAAGAGGGGGCTTGCTGGGACCCCGTTGCCCCATGTCTCCTGGGGACCTGTTTTCCAGAGGTGGGATGTGTTTGGTGGTGTCCATGGCGGCACTGTGCCCAGAGCAGCAACTCCTCATGCTCCTTCCTGCTGCTGTCAGGCTTGCCCCCTGCTGTCTTCCCAGTCTGGCGTGCGGTGGAAGCTGTGGGGAGACTGGCCCCGTGGTGCAGCGTGCTGCCGACGGTGTTCCTGCCTTGGCTGTGCGCTGCAGGGCTCTGCTCGGAGCTTGTCTTCAAACACCTCCACCCCAAGCAGATGAAAGCAATAACGGGTCAGCATCGTGGTCCTTTCCTGGAGGGCTCTGGTTTGCCTTTCCACCTCTCACCAGCTTTGGTTTCTCTTTTTTTTTTTTTTGTCTCCTTCTTGATGCTGGGGGCTTCATCTCCAAAAGGGACAGACCATGCAACAACAGAGGTGGCCTGGTGGGCCACAGCCAAAGCTGAGAGCGGCTCCGTTCTCCCTGGGCATCCGTTGGGATGTGGGCTCTCCCTGCCGCAGCTGGGCCCAACAGAGTCACCTGAAAGACCAGCAGGATTGAACCCGCACTTCAGCCTTTTGAAATGACTCTTCCCTCCTGTCTTTCTGGGAAGTCAGGAGGAGGCATTAGAGTGCGTGGTGCCCCTCCGCAGGCATGGCCCCCGCTAGGAGGGGAGCAGAGCTGCCTGGCTTTCCCATTTCTTATTTCTATTATAAATATCCTCTTAACAGAACCTTGTGTGTTTAATCCTTGGACAGTTGGGAGTGACGCTTTCTCATGCCAGCTTGGGCAGAGCTCTGCTGCAAGTGTTTGGATGCCTGCAAAGCCACGAGCGATGTTCCAGGGCATCCGAAGCAACCGCTTCTGAGACACCTCGCTGGGCAGGCAGGAGATCCTTAAAACAGAACTGTCAAAGCAAAGAGCTCGTTCCCTTGGCAACAGTCATGTTGGAGATTGGCCTTAGGGTAGGAGCTAAAAAACATGCTCAAAAAAGTAGTTATCGGCTGTTTGCTGTCAAACTGGATGAGGGCCCTGGGAGAGGGGTCGCCCTGCCTGCTGCGGCCCCGTGCCGGAGGGAGGCCCGCGAGGGGAGGGTCCAGGTGGGCTTGCTGCTTGTTCACAGGGGAATTGCTCCCCTTTTGGAGGGTCCCAGCAGAGCTCTGACACTGGGGATGGCTGTCGTGGTGCTTGGATGATTTCTGGTGGCCCAGAACGGGGCTTTCCCCCCTCGCCGTGGTCCTGCCTCCCCCCAGGACTCGCCCGTGCTTGGCAGGCTTGCACGCAGCGTGCGCCTGAGCCGGGGCCTCCGCTCTCCCTGCGCCGGCTGTGGCTTTGGGCTTTGGCCGGTGGCTTGCAGGTTGGAGCAGCAATGGATCCTCTCGGCCATGGGAGCGCTGGTGGCCTCGGAAGAAGGCAATCGCCGTGCCTGGCACCAGGATTCCCTGATGATGATGCTGCCTTTTGCTGAGCTAATTGGCCACCAGACTGGTGTGAATGTGCAAACACGACGGAGCAGAGCCGCCAGCGGCCGCTCGTGTTTGTGCGGCTGCGCAACACGACGGGCAGCCCTGCTGGTCCCAGAGGAGGGGCCGCTTCCCCGCTCCGCTCGGATGCGCGCTGGCAGAGGAAGACGCGTGGCGAGGGCTTGCCCGAAGGCGTGCGGGAGGGTGTCTGTAGCCTGCTTCAAAAGCCGCCGGCCGGGGCTGGAGGAGCAGGAGGGCATCCCGCGATTCCAGAGCTTCAGCACTCGCCCCCAGCCCCCCGTCAGCTGCTGCTTTCCTGGCGGCTGCTCCATCGGTAATCGCTGGCCGTGTTCCAGCGGCTTCACCCTGGCCGGGCGTCAGCTCTGACCGTGCCCTCGGGCAGGGTCTGTCGGGAGGTGGCTGCGTCCCCGCACCCTGGGAGAAGGATGCAGCTCTGCGATTTGCCAGCAGTGCTTGGACTGGGTCCGTGCCCCTTGGACCAGGGTCCCGCTGGCCTTGCCTGCGGGGGGCTCAGGGCTGCTGCAGAGCGCTGATGGGGTCCTGGAGGCTGTGAACAAAGTCTCTAGCGTGGTCTTGAGAGAACCCCAGCAAAGGCGCAGGGTTCAGAGCAGGCTGTGATGAGGAGCTGGGTCTTCTTGCTTTGCCCCTTCCCAGAGAATGCTCACGTGCATGTCTGTTTTCAGAGAATTAATACAGAACTTGGTGTTTGGGATGGGGAGTCGGGGTTTTTCATGTGGGCCACACCTGAAGGCAAGAAGCCCCTGTACTCGTGTGGCTGCTTCACTTGCAAGGAGCAAGCTGCCGTCGCGTCGGGAGCTTGGACAGCAGGTCTCCGTGTTGCTCGCCCCGTTAACCTCTGGATCTCACACCCCACATCACAGGGGCTTGGCTGTTGAAGAGTGGCGCGTCGCAGCATCCCTGTCTGTAAGATCCAGAGTTCGCAGCAGGCTCCTGGGGTTCTCTGTTTTCCATTTCCAGTGAGCATTGGTGTTAATGTGACAGTCCGTTGTCACCCGGAGATCAAATCCCTTGCTTTGTGGGAAGGACGGCTCAGAGAGGCTGGCTGCTGTGGGCTGGAGCAACTGGGGTGGGAGCTGGCAGGGGGGGCCAGAGGGAGTTTTTGGCACCAGAGGGTGCAAATGGGGAAACTGGATGGATTTGTCCCTGTGTTGGTGAGGAAAACCTAGGAAGCTTCCTGAAGTGCCTGGATGCCGCAGCCCCTGTGGCCTTGCTGTGCCAGGGAGAATTGCCCGAGAGCGGGATACCTCTGCTGCCGGGAGAGCACCTGGGTGGTGGCACATGGGGTTGTCCTCACTTCTAATCCTCTCCTAGATCAGCCCGGCTTCCTGCGTCCCTCCCACTGCCACCTTTTGATCTGAGCTTGCTTCATCCCACAGCCTGGCCCTCCATCTGCTCCCTTCGCCTCCTGCTGCCCATGTCCCCCTGCCTTGCTCTTGCTTGGCTGGCACGGAGCCATCTCGTCTCGCTAGCAGCCTCTTGGTGACAGCACTTGGTAAAGCCTGGTGGCCCGGAGAGATGTGGAGACGCTGTGGGACTGTAAACGGAGCCGGCCCCGGAGGCGTCGAGGAGGGCGCCTTGCCCTGCAGCTCCCGGGGGACGTGTCCCCTGGCTGGAGCGCACCGGTGAGGGTGGCTTCCGCAGGCAGGCGCGCGGGAGAGGGGAGCGCGGGGTGGCATCGAGCAGATGCACTGAAACAGGAGCAGCTTTCCCCCCCTAACAAAATCTGGAGCAAGTCAGCTGCTAGCGAGGAGGAGCCTGGAAGTTGGGCTCTGGGTATCCCAGACTGTGGATTCACACGCTGCTCAAATCAGCTTGCAAGCAAGCTCGCACAGCAGATGTCTGAGCCCGCTTGGCCGGGTTCGCAATCCACCGGGTTCACAACTGCCACCTTGGCCAGGCTGCTCCGGTGTCACCGCGCGGGCAGGGTGCCTGTGGCTGGCAGCAGGGCTTTGCAGCTCATGGCCACCGGTCCTCGGGGCGGAGAGAGCTCACCTTGGGAAACATCCGTGTCTGCAGAGATAGATCGGGTCTTCATGGTGGTGAAACGGAATGGAAGAGAATGAGGAATGTAATGAGTGTTGGGGTTTGGGCTGGAGGGGTTCGAGCAGGGGGTGCTGCCCTCTGGGGCGGCTTCTGCCCCGACAGAAACAGTTCTGCAGCCCGGAGGCAGGCTCGGGTGGGAGCGGGATGGACGTGCCCGGCAGCGGCTGGGAGAGAGTCCTGGCAGCTCCAGCTCCTGCCTGCCCTGCGTGACGTGTGTTGGGGTTTGGGCTGGAGGGGTCCGAGCAGGGGGTGCTGCCCTCTGGGGCGGCTTCTGCCCCGACAGAAACAGTTCTGCAGCCCGGAGGCAGGCTCGGGTGGGAACGGGATGGACGTGCCCGGCAGCGGCTGGGAGAGAGTCCTGGCAGCTCCAGCTCCTGCCTGCCCTGGCTGCGGTTGCTGCTGGAAGTGCCTCCAGTTTTTGGCAGGCCGTGGTGAATGCTCTGGCTGGCCGAGGTTGGTGTGGGCAGCAGGGCGTCCTCCAGACGCACCGTGAGGGCTGCAGGGCTCTGCCCGGGCATTGCTCGCTGCTTCCCTGGGGATGCTCCAGGTGGAACGGCTCCTGGAAGGTGGGAGGCTTGCCTTGGTGTTCTGTTGCAAAAGCCCCCGGAGATGCGGTGCTGCAGGGATTCGTGTCTGTGCGTGGAAGCGTCCCAGGGCCGGCAGCAGCGGAGCCGCAGCGCTCCGAGGGGTCTGTGCTGTTAGGGGGGGCGCGTGCCGGCAGGTCCTGCTGCTGGGCTCAGGGAGCGAGGAGAGAGGCGCACGTAGCTATTCCCCTCATAAATATGAATGCCGGGCCCCTGAAAAAGTGCACAGGTTTAATTAATGAAATATTGATTTTTGTAGAGTGCGGTGCTGCTCTAATTTCACTGCACCAACTGGGATCCAAAACAAACACGGGCGGCAGCTCTTGGCCAAAAAGAGGGGGCCTGGTGAAGCCTTTGCTTGGGTGTTCTGTGGGGTGCCTGAGCTTGCTCTGCCTTGTCCCCAGGTCCCTCGCTGTCCCTGGCTGCAGTGGGTCTGGCCCCCTCCAGGAGGGTGCTGCGGAGGGGGAGCCGGGTGCTCTGCCTGCCAGGGGCCCTGGCTGCTGCCTTGCCATCCCCAAAATAATTTCTCTCCCTGTTGCAGGATG